TGGTGAAGAAGGGTGGAGCATTCACAGTTTGACGGCTGTTTGTGCGCCGGGCAGGATGGTGCTGCTTTTGTGGCTTGGTCGACGTCACATTTCTTTGGCGTGGGTGGCCAAGTATGCAGACACCAGGTTTCGCCCTTGGTCGCAGCTGTTCGTGGACCCCCGTCGCACAAATTCTGGCCGGCATGGTGTGGTAGGGGTTGGTTGGCCAAAGTTCGAATCGCCCCACCAAACATTGCAATGTGCAATTCCGACGTGACGAGTCGGGTGGCTAAACTACAAAGTTCGGCCTGTTGTAACAAAATCATACCTAATCATTTCTGTAAGTAGTTCCGATAGATATTGTCGTGTTACAGTGTAGATAGTGCTATGAATGGGACTGCCGAGTAGCGTGGAGGGCAATGGCGAAACCGTGAACGAGTGAATGAAAATAAAATGAAAGACAACACAACATATAGAAAACCTAGGGTGATTCTGGAAGTATGATCAAAAGGTTCGGGAAAGGTATCGAAGGGCCTCGATGTGTCGAAGCGAGGTCCGGAAAGGCCCAGGAGGCTCGAACTGAAAGGTCAAGAACCCTGGCGATGGTTCGGGACTGTTCGAGTCGTACGCCCTGTAGCAAGCCTCAGTAAGGAATTACTAATTCCTTACACTCCCCCCCCTTCTAAATAGGCTCAGATGTGCCTGAATTGAGAGATAGAGAGCACAGTCCGTCACACGGCTTCAATTATTCATACCGTTCTGATCTATGACTCAAACTGTGATCTGTAAAATGGATCTGGAGCGCGTTGCTGTCGCCTATCAGCAGCAAGTTGAATCATCAAATTCCATGAAGATTTGACGACGCTTTGGCGGTTTGACTGGCAGGAGGTATAGGAGCCACTATAGTCTTGGAAGTACAAACTTAGCAAGAAGAATTCGAGAGGGAGATGGTTCCCAGCCTCTACATACCCCAAGAGCCGAGGTCCAGTTTGGTGGTACACCACCACAGAGTCCCCAACCACGAAGAGTCTCGAAACCAACCCTCCAAGGGGCTACACCAAGTGAAATGTAACACTACACGAAGTAGCGTTACTATTTTCACTATTTTAATTTTTATCCGCGTCCCTTGGGCTTGAAATCTTGAGCTCTTGGTCTTGATTCTGCAAGATATATTCTTCTTGAGTTTATGGGGGCTTGCTGCACACACCTGCGACACGATGGACACTTCACACTCGACAAAATAGAAAAACACATGCGACACGCAAACGACGACATGACATGCGAGTTGTAAAAACTCGCTAATGTCTTGACCGACACAAACCACATTATGATACACCATTCAAACACACACAAGCACTCGATAGCAATGACATAGACTCACAAGTCATTCCATGCCATGCATGCACACACACAAACAAGGACGACAAGCCGAGTGCAAGCCGTAGGGTTGCACCGACAGATAGCACCTCGTTTAATTCCACATGAGTCGTGACACTTGCAGAAACACGCGTCCATATTTCGCAAAATCGACGAACTCCAGCTATTCGTCAAATGCGAGGTCATTCGCGATACATGCGAGAACACGCGTCCGTGTCTCACGAAAGTCAGCGAATTCCATCAGCCCTTGGATGAAAGCTCAATCAATTCAGTAACTGTAGTTGATGTCGCCTAAGGCGATTATAGTAAACACGCCTTCAACTTCCGCAAACACCTGCAAAATGTCAGAAAGGCCAACTTGAATCTATCCGTCGATTCAGTCGGTCAAACAGCATCTGTCCGTCGATGATGATGCAGCGGATATCAAATTGTCGCGGGAAATAAAAAAAACAGCTGCTGTGCAGCTGCTTTCTCCCCCCTCTAGGAAAAGAAATACATATGTCGTCGATGCCAAAAATATCCTGCTTCAAGTTTCTTCAGACTCGAAAATTGAAGTATCTTCAAACTCCGCTCGTCGTGACCAGTCTCAGCGCGACCCTATAACGCAGGGCAGCTGTGCCACATAGACTCTGGCTCTGACCCACGCCGTAGATAATAATTCTGCTCCGCCGAATGCCGTCGATCTGCTTCCTCTGTAGAAAATCCGCGACTCCATGTGACCGGTTCGCCGTACAAATGTTCACCCATCGCGCGGCTACGGCAGGTACCCCAGAAAAACTCGGGTACAGTTCTCAGCTACAAAAGGCGCATTTTCTGCAGTTTCACCGACTAACCATGCTAGTATTTAAACCATCGCATAGCTCGGTAGGTACCCCTGACCCCAGCTACCGCGTCAGTCAAAAACTTGAAGAATTCCCACCCGATGTTTAGCGACGCACCGACGTTCACCCATCCTTGCGCCTGTCCAGGTAAATTCCCGAATGAGTCCTCGCAGCCGAGTCTTCATTTATAGCCCCACAACTCAAGAATAATCCTTGAAGACTCCCGCGTGACTCCAAATTTTCCGTGATGGCAACACGCTTCTCCCATTGCAACAGTAACCCTTGTTGTCCCGAAGCTCCATTTGATGAATACACTCCAGAGCAGGGGTGAATCCGCCGTGTGCCCGTACTCAGGTAAGCGCAAACGCTATCGTAGTTGGGCGAATTAATCAGTCAAATTCGTGGGCAACTGCTTTGCAGCTTACGTGAGGGATTCTCCTCCCCCTCCCTGGAAAATTCGTTGCTAAAAAAATCTGCTCCAAACTGCTGCAAATTTCTTCAACTGCCGCTTCACGATAAAACTTCCGTAGGCCGCTGTTCACCCAGCACCCACGTTCGTTGTTCTCCCAACAGTGCTGCGCACGTTCTTTAAAAAAAGCTCGCAACTTCGTCGATGTCAACGAGAAATCCTCGTCGTTCGTATTGGACTCGAGCTCCGCGTACTGTTCGTAATTTTCATTAATCTGCTTCACGTGCCTCCCACTGTACAGTATCCGATTTTCACCAATTGTTTGCCTGTCGTGTAGCACCAATTTTTTTTCTTCCTTGATCCACCAGCACAGGGTGATCCGCTGGCTCACCACCCTTATTCGGCCAGAACCGTCGGAGTAGTCTTAAACCCGAACTGGTACCTGGTGGTGGTGCTGAAAATCGGGCGACCCGGCCAAGTCAGTCGGGGGATCCGTCTGCCGCTGACTCCATAAAATTTCCCGGCCGCTCTCCTTCTCTGCTTCAGCTCTTCGTCGTTGGCTTTTAGCGGTGACCCGGTGATGAACTTAAACTGGACCCGAGGGTAGTTGCTGGTCATCCTTCGTAGATCGTGGAGTATAATTTCTGACCACGAAAATGGCTTCCTCTACAGGAATCCAGACTCGCCGACCTCGAAACTCCAGGGCAGACAAATTACACATCCAGGCGGGCAGGTCATGCGAATCAATTCCGAGGTCAGTACTCCTCGGAACTCCTCCGTGCCTCAGCCCCACGTTTGTTGTCGTGCGATCCTTGGTCGTTCCGAAAACTCCAACGCCACGTTTCAGAACAGTATCTTAAGTCCAGTCTTCACCTGCGTGTCGCCTGCCGGAAACGCCGAGCCCTTTGACATAAGCTACAATTCACCATGCAGCCACGTCTGCTACACGCGCTCTTGATGAAATCCTCTTCGCCTGGGGATATCCACGAGCTTGTCGTCTTGTGACGAGCTCATCGCTCCATTCGGACACCAATCCGAATCGTCGTTGCTACTTGCCGAAAATTCCGAAACTGCAACCAAAACTCTTTTAACGATATGCGAAATAAATAGCATACCGGAAACACTCTTCAAAATCTTCGCCATGTCAGGACGGACACAACTGCCCTCGAGGGGGTGGCCGAGCGAATCCTGCTCGTCCGGTAGGGTCGGATCAATGGTCTTCAGAAGCCCACGCAAACGCAGCTGTTGAAGCATATCATATCATGCTTCAGGACAACCGCTGTGCCTTCCGTAGCGCCATCCGCCTTCTCCCCCTCCCAAAAAAAATTTGCCCTCAGAAGCCCAGCGGGTGAGGAAAGTGGCTCTGAATACCAAGTATTATGAATGGATCTGCCGAGTAGCGCAGAGGGCAATGGCGAAACTGTGAACGAGTGAATGACAATAAAATGAAAGACAACACAATATATAGAAAAGCTAGGGTGATCCTGGACTTAGGATCGGAAGGTTCGGGAAAGGTATCGAAGGGCCTCGATGTGTCGAAGAGAGGTCCGGAAAGGCCCAGGAGGCTCGAACTGAAATGTCTGGAACCCTGGCGATGGTTCAGGACGGTTCGAGTCGTACGCCCTGTAGCAAGCCTCAGTAAGGAATTTACAAATTCCTTACAGATAGCATCCGTAGAATGATGTCAGCAAATAGCACTCATCTGGATGATTACGTCAGCAGGCCGTTTCAGTCACGCGAACAGTCGCGCTCCTTTCTGTAGCGGTTAGAGCGCAAAGCGCAAATAGTTTTGAACAGGTACATTACCGAATAGGTACTTCTAGCAGATATAAAAGCAGTTTGTACAACTTCCGTTTTTAACTTGTTCTTCAGTAAATTCTGGTCAACACTTAACAAGTTCTAAGATTCCATTGTTTTACTAGTCTACCATTCCAGCAAAGATCCTTGGTTAAGTCTTGAAGTATGACAAGGCTGTAATACTGACTCTGGTGTTACAACTTGTTAATACTGCTGGAGGTACTTCCAGTATTACTTTCTACTTCAAGCACTTGTGTCTGCAGATTCTATACTTAGTCTCTTGCGCCACTCGTGAAATTCTTTCATGGTATCAGAGCTGTCTGGAATTAAGACTATCGTCAATCATGACAGGTCCATCGTCAACCCCACCATCTGGTTCCTCAACAACTGGACCTACGGGCATTACAAATCCTATAGTCATCACTGGTCAAGCAAGTAACTCTGCAGCAGGAAACTTTCCACTTGCTTATTCCTCAACCGGAATGCCTCAACAACAGCAAGTTTTGCCGACTGTGCATCCACCAGGGACTTCGTCCCTTGTACCTGCAACATCACAGCGACAAGCAACAGCATCAATATCAGCGGCTTTAAGTGGTATGAGTATCGATGGCTCCAGC